TCCTTTCTCAGCTAAGCCAAAAAGCTGGTTTTTAGGCTACCTTTACACTTTTATGACTTCCCTCTGCGCACGACTGCACAGCAGCTGGCAATTTCCGACGTTTTACTCACCATAACCTGGTAAAGCAGTAGTGGTTCTGGCTTGTGTACTTACATGTACCAGGCCCAAACGTTAAACAAGCTTTGTTACACGAATTACGGGCCTTCAACGGCTCTGGGAATCGGAATGAAACCATAGAAATGGGAAAGAAATGATTCACAAGAGCTTGAAACCATGCAATTGAAAGCGTTTGGCGACAAGCAACAAGAAAGACCAGATGAATCACTACTACATAACGGCACAAGATAGGTATACGTCCCCAACGTGAAACTAATAAGCCTTGTTGTACAAAATGGCACTGCCCGGCTTATTTGCTGCGTTGACTTTTCCCCTTGCTGGGTAAGGAAGGTTCTCGCGTGTTTGAGTATGGGAAGAGAAAGAGGGCTAAAAAACGGCCTGGGTTGAAGATGATATGGTCAGTGGCGGGGAGTTCCATAGGGAGAATGAGCCTATTCCTAGCAGAATCTAGTTCCCCAACAATTTTCTACCTCAGAAGTACGACCTTCTTAATAGAATCTCGCAAGTCACGTCCGCCAAGCCTTCAAACAAAAGCTCAGTCCCGTGATGTCATTCGAAGAATTCCTCAGAGCATATCCAATGCCACAGTAGCCCCTGCACCACACAGAAGACGAGCCCATGATTAATTACTATCGTCATATCATCCGCGAACCGGCCGTGCCAAGCTCAGATTAACGACGCTCTCACCAGTCGCGCGAAATTGGGTTAGTAGAAATCCTTAGCGTTTCCATCACTGGTTATTTTCTTCCTGAATCGATCACTAGCCGATTACTATTGGTAGAGAGCATGGTAGCAAGGAGGGCTCATTTTGCCCTTCCTGACACCGCCCTGACTCATTGCGGCGTTATCAACTAAAAGTGATTGACCAGACTGCGAAATTCTACGCCCGTACGCTCGAGGGCACGCCCCCATCCTTGACCATCACACGACGGGCGGGCCTCGTACTTGCCCCCGCAGACTTACGACGGAGGGCGTCGCGTAAACGCATGGCCCACGTGTGAAGTGGCCACGAGAGGCGGTGCCAACACGAGCGAACAAAGAAGCTCAAAAGGCACCGATTTAAATGACAGTAAAATACACACTAGGCATCAATCGACCTAATGCCTAGGCCAAAACAAAAAACATAATGCTGGAGACGCTTTTTACTGCCTTCCTCACCAGGAAAACTTTACACACACTTCCGCCCACCAACCTCACTAATCCTGGTCTAGATAAATCCCAATCCACTAATCCGCAAAATCTAGAAAAGAATCCATTCCAAAAGCTACCTATGAAACCGCAGAAACTGAATCCTAAGCAATTTCCTCACAACAAAATCAAACTCAACACAAAACAAAACCAAACTTAACAAGAACAAACAACAAAATAATTAACAGTCAAATGAAAGAAAAACACCACGCAGGCCAGCTGGACCCAGCACTAGGGATACTTTGAATGCTTGCTGTTCCGCGGTATCAGCGCGCTCATAACAACTCCATTGGTGCGCGCTCATTGTATACCGGGTCCTGCACCATTCAACGCCAAACACGTCTGAAAATCCCCTCATTGAACACCCCATAAACTTTCGTTGAAAGTGAAGCATGGAGAGTAAACGCTCCGGCCAGGAAGTCAGCAAGCTCACCAGTGGCCCACTTATCACCTGAATGAGCGCTTTCAGACGATTGGTTCAGCAGAATTTCTCCGCCGTCGTGATCCATTTCTGATCCACTGGATCATTTTCGAACGCGAGTCGCTACACCGTTTGGACTCGTGCAAAGCTTCAGTACAAGAACCTTTTCGTAAAAAAAAGAACTGTGCCAGATCTATAGATTTCTAACTTTCCAGCAAGTTTTAATTTCCCTTCCTAAAACCTACTATTCGCGAAAACTTCCGCGTCGTTTGACATTTTGTAATCACCCCCCACGACACCGAAAAATCAACCCCTCCGAGGCCAGGAAACCTCCAGTTGGCTTGAAGACTTTGGTATGCTTCTGAAACACATGTTTTCGTCAAGCATATCAGGTAATAGGCCATTGGGCGCCAATTGGCATCATATATGCAACGCGCCATTGATGGGGCTTTCACGCAGGTGTTTGAAAGGTGTAACTTCTAGATAGGCTTCCAATTGTGAGGCAAATATGCTACCTGAATAAGAAAATCGTCGGGAATGTACTTTCATCTGTTTATTAATCGTCACGTCGTGAGTCCTCTTGTTTGTTTATAAATTCCCCTTGTGGGCGGTGATCGTAGCTCCTATCATCGCCCCTTCCTCGTACGTATTGTCAGTATGCTACACCAGCGCCAGAGTGCTGGACGTGCTTGGGACGTACGTAGGTACTGCGACCCCCCCCGCTCGACAGCAAAATTTTGTAAAAAAACCAGAAATTTTTGGGAAAAAATAGACAAAGTGGTAGGAGGTTGGAAAAATCTAGGGAAGAGGTAACAGGGGGTCGTACTTGAAGATGGAATTAGGGGGGTCGTATTTTTCAGGAAATGATCACAACGCAATGGCGTGCCCTGGCTGTAGTGCAATGCTAGGAGATTGTACGCTAAGAGTAGTACACCGCAGATCACTTCATATAAGTACAAGTAAGAAAGATGGAAATACCAAGTGGCATATGTTAGAAAATAAAAGCTGCAGCCAGTAGGAATTATGAACAAATTCTTGGAGTAAAGAAATAAAAGATGTAGGTAGTTGCAAGGAGCAGCTGCTGAGTTACCAACACGGCTGTCATTAGGATAGGTAAAAAAAAACTCAACAGGCTCATCTACAAATGGAGGATCAACTGGTAGTCTGGCTTCTTCTCTAATGCATGCCGTTCCCTATCCATGTGTGATTCTTTCTTTCTAATTACTTCATTATATTTTCCTTAATTCTTTTTGCTTTTCTACAATAAGAAAATAGAATGAAAGCATCACGTTCATTCCTCAGAGGCAACAGGGGTTACAATGATTGGTACCAATTTTTTGGGAACACAACCACTTCCGCTTACCATTCCTTTCCGTGCCATAACTTTGCTCGACCGGGGAGAAAACGACAGACGCAGGTTCATCTATCAATTGCAGAAAAATGAGACATGGCAACGTCTGGGGATCTGGTGGAACATGCAGGGGGGAGGGGCAAAAGTCACTTTCCTTCCTTGACTTTCAAGGCGCTATTATTTACAATTTTTTTTGAATTATGTTCGGATAATACAACCATATTCAACAGCATATTAAATACTATCATGATACTGCCTTCTGGAGGAGCGCCATCGAGAGATTCTGCCACGCGACCGTGATTCGGTACCTGCTTCAGCGAGATAGTTGATTTCTCCGCCACTGTAGACCACCCTATTGAGCTCCGCCCGAACCGGTAATTGAGAGGGATTCAGGTCAGGTGACACACTTAGATATTCCATCCTTCTTCAGGTACTCAACTCCCTTCCTTCAATTCCATGTGGTGGCACCCGAACCTGTAGCAGTACAAAGTTTCCAAGATGGTACGGGCGACGACATGTAGGGAGGATATTCTTCTCGAGTTGCTCGATGTAACCGCCAGCGCTCACCTTCAGTCCGGGGTCCACGAAGAAAATATCGGTCTTTCCATTCCAGGTACGTCCGGTCCATACGCGCCTTGGCGACTGCGGTGAAGATGATGTCCTAGACCGTAGCGACGTTGTCGGAGCTGCTCGATGTTGGAGGTCTTCCAGATCGAGAGTACTGGTCTCCAGGTAGCTATCTGGTGACTCCACACTAGAAGTTTCGCAGCTGTTTGGAGGTGACATGAATTCCAAAGGTCTTCTCCAGTCAGGCTGCGACTGGAGATGACTTCATGGTGTACATGAAGGTGATGGGCGAGAGCCAGCTCCTGCTTATCGAGGAACATCTTGGGTATCTTCCGCCCTGAAAGTCGTATCCACGTCAAAGTCGTATCCACGTCCTCTGTCTGGGCTGCGAAAACTTTGCTGATATGTGACTCGGTCGAAGTGACTTTTTTTTGCCTCCTTTCTCTGCAGGCAGGAAAAGTAAACCAACTCTTTGGCCCAATGCGATCCCCTTAACAATAAAAACGCGCTCTCTCCCAGTTGCTGGTCATGGGTAACTACCTTCATTTCCCTAGCTTCCGCTGCCACTACTTGAAAAACCTCCAACCAATTTCTGTGAAAGCGAGGAAAAATGCGCTCTGGAAAATACTGCATCTGAAGACCTTACTCCCGAAGAAAATGAATTCTGCAACCTAGCCATAGTGTGGCTGGATGGAACCCCGTCCAGTCATGGTACACTATCGCTTTTGTGATATGGCTGTGTCAGTAGGATCTCCCGCTTCCCCCTTCCAATGTGCCCATCTGGCGCGACTCCTTTTCCTGTGCTAAATAGTGTTTTCCTAAGCTCAACATCACAGCAGAAAAAAATTTCTCGCGGCTCGGAAAAGTTGATAACTCGTTACAAAAAAGCAAGTACCACTTTATTCCCAACGACCAAGTGCGATTCCTCTGATGGCCTTTTCCCCAGTGATGCTGTACCCTGCCTCCACCTAGTCACTGCGTAGCTTCACCTTCTACCGGAAAATGTTTATTACTGTATTTTACTCGTGATTTGAACAAATGCTTTGTACATGAAACTGTATTCACCTGGCTAATGAATTGTAGAGATCATAAAAAGGCTCAAACTATCTCATGAAAGCAACCTATAAGGTGAATGTACATGGGATGTATACTGTAGTAAAATACTAACTAAGTTGACAGTCACATATTCCGTACACGTTTAAGGTAAAAGTTTAAGAGTGACATATGAGGATAAATGAAAATGAGCTGTCGGGTACATACATACATGTGGCTACTTGCATACTATTGTGATTAAAACAGTAAAAGACACTTTCATGAGAAGTAATACGATTCTGATCAAGACCAGTTCTCATAACATTAAAACATCAAATGAGTTTTACTTTTACCAGCGGCAATTTTGACTTGACCGCTTTTTTGAACGCCAAGTTTTCGCCGAACAATGTACCTGAAGCCATCAATATGAATTGAAAACGAAAAAAAAACGAAAGCACGAAAACAGTTTTTCAGATAAAAATTAATACAAGACAACATGGCTATTTTCCAAACCCCAGAGCTGGAGTGGGCGTGCCGTTTAGTATACTGGAGCGGGAGGCTGCTGCGCTTTGTAGAGACCTGATTACTACTGTCTGAAAACGGGATATTACCATTCGATACGATGGTAATCAAGTCTTTGTCCAGCGCAAGAAAAGGCAATAGATGTATTGAATCAAAATATTCCACGAAAGAAGCGTTCTACCGCGTTCAAGTGGTGCACCACGCAGCCACGCCTCCTACAGCTCTGGGATATGAAGTGTAATTTTGTATTTAAAAAAGATCCGCTCTTGTTTTTCCAACTCGGCAATATGTGAACCTCCCCATAATGTAACGAAAGGGGCAGTTTTCAACAAGTTTGGAAACCCCGTGCTGTACATTAAAACGTAGCGGATGGGTACCTGTGTACCAAATAACGCTGTAATTGTGAGCG